TTGAGTTGTCTAATTCTGAAATTTTATTGTTAATCTTCTGGATTTCTGATTGCTGTCTCTCTGTGGATTCTTGTAGCCTGTTAAATCTGTCATTATGCTCTTCTCTAAGCTTCTTATGTTCCTCTATTGCTTTGTCTACATTTTGACTGATCTCCTTCCAGATCTTTGAAGAGTTCTGTATATTAATGTTCTGTATTCTGCTTCTGGTAATCCCAAGAAATTCTCTTCCTCTGAAAAATTTCTTGATTCTTTATTTTGGGAGCTTGCTGAAGCCATCTTCATCTGCCTCTTTATGTGATTCAATACTGACTGTTGTATCTGAGCCATTAATAAGTTATTATATTTGTTTGATTACTGTGTCCTAGTTTCTTGCTTTGTTTTGATAAGCCCAAATAGGCTGCTCGTGTGAACTAGTTTGATTATTGGCACCTTTGAAGCTCTAACATCCTGTCACCAGGTGGTTAGATCTATTACTAAGTATGTGAGCCCAGGAGTCCGTTTACTTTTCTTGTGTGGATTCAGCTCAGGTATCCATGTAGTCGGCTGCAAAGTGTGTGGTGCAGGCTCTCAACTACAGTCCTGGACAGGCATGGGTGACTGGTTTAGGCACAGGCATCTGGCTGCAGCAGGGAGTCACACAGTGAGCAAGTCAGGGGGCCAACTGTGGCCCCCGAGTGTCCTGGAAGAAAGCATGTTCCGCGTCGGTGGGTGGGTTTTGCAGCCAGACTATGAGCACCCGATGCTGTTGGCGGTAAGGACTGGGGTCACCACTTATTCTTGGGCCCCTGTAGCAGGTGGCTAGGTGGCATGGGTGGAGCCACTAGTCCTCAGTCCCGATGTGGCAGGTGAGGAACCTGCTTAATGGGCAGAGCAGTGTCAAATGTGAACCTGCCACTTCACAGCTGAAACAGTTGAAGTTAGACTTCAGCTATATATCCTGTTGTACTGTGGTAATGAGGGCCTACGTGGTTGAAATGGGCCCACACAAGTCTCTGCAGGGGTAAAGGGATTCAAAGTCCATGGAACCCTTATGCCTGTGCCTAGGCAAAGGATCTGTGCCTATTCTGAATTCCCGGCTTAGGGAAAGCCGGCAGATTATTTTTTCCTGTTTGTTAATTTGTTCCCTCTCCAAGGAAGGGAGAACTGCTCAGGGCACTTAAAAGGTCCTACTTCTGGCCCAGGGGACTCAGCAATAGCAGAAGCCGTCCCAGACACAGTGCAGAGCAGGGAGCATGGAGGTAAATGGGAGACAGAGTTTTCCCAAAGGTGGGTGTTTATATCCACACAGCAGGCCAGACACAAGTACTTATCTTTCACCAATTGAGGGCTGCTTCTCACTGGTTCTGGATGGCCAAGTAGATTCTCTGCTGCTGGGTCTCTCCCAATGTGGAAAACAACTCCTGTGCGCTGCTGCTTGCCTCACTGCACACCATGATCTGATCCAGGCTGAAGGGCTCCGGCTCCCACTGGGTCAGGTCTGTCAACTCCTTGCTGCCTCCGAACTGTCTCTCCCTCCTCTGCCACTCAGTCTGATTCCTTGACTTTTCCTTTGATGTTCAAGGTGCCTAGATGATCATATATAATTGATTCACTTGTTTTTTCAGGTCTTTGTTGTAAGATGGATCACCGGAAGTGTCTGACTACTCTGCCATCTTGGTCTGGCCTCCTGGCTTTCCTTTTCCTATTTTGCTGTAAAAATATAAAACCAATCCCCAACCCAGGCAAAAAAAAAAGTGCATGGTCACATCTTCTTACTCAGACAAACTCCCTCCAGCCCCTGGAGTTCTCCTCAGTTCCTGAGCAGCATCAGGACTAAAGTGTCTGGAGAACAGCATGCCCAGTCCTGGGCTGTGCCCTCACCCTGAGGTGTTGGGTTCCTGATCACGGCTCATCAGGATCCATCTTCAGATGGATACTGGCCTGGTGCACAGGCTGAGAGGACTCACTCCCTAGTGGCGTTAAATCACCTTGTTACTTACTGCCCTATAAACCAATAACCAAACCTGTTGCCATCCAGTCGATTCCGACTCATAGCTACCCTACAGGACAGAGTAGAATGGCCCCACACAGTTTCCAAGGAGTACCTAGTGGATTTGAACTGCCAATCTTTTGGTTAGCAGATGTAACTCGTAACTACTACACCACCAGGGTTTCCTACTGTCTTATAGAATCCTCTAATTTACACGTGGTCTCTTCTCATAGGAGTAGCCTAAGTTAAGTCTGAATCTGTTTAGACAATTTTATGGGTATTGTAAAACCAAAATTGAATGTCGGGTCTTTGTAGCTGCACAGCCAAGATGCACTTCAATTAGAAATAATTGCTGTTAATGCTGTTAGGATGTGGTGGACACACACTATCCCCCCTAGACCTTTGTTCTATGAAATCCCCTAGGAGTCTGTCTTTATTCTTCCGCTAAACAGACAAGCTCCCCGAATATACGCTTCTGGACTTGTAATACAGGGGCAATACTGCGCTTCTCTCTTAATTAACCTTGCTAACTATGGATTTAGAAACTTGAC